CAGGAATTGCCCTCCCTGCACCCGGCAGCAGCCAGTGAGTGAGGGCTTTTTTTTTCAAAGTGCTGGGAGCTGGGATGGACAGGGCAGCCATTGCCAGGCTGGGAGAGCAGGCGGGCAATGGGCCTGGGTGATTCGGAGATTCGGTAGCAGCCAAATCAGATTCCGCCAGATTGATTCGGGACAGTGATAAGAATCACTGAATCAAATCACTGTCCCCCAAATCGGCCAAATCCAAAGTGAATACTAGCTACTTCACGCAGGCCTAAATTCCTTTCCTCTTCCCCCTTTCATGCATGCTTCTCTCCCACAACTCCTTAACATGTGGCTCCAAGGTGCTTCAAGGTGCTGTGGGCTCTGCCCCCCAAATGCATCCCTTGCCTAGTCCTGGCTGGTGGGTGAAGTACCAGTCTCTGCTCATTTTCTATAGCACCAGGTCCTAGCAGAGGCAGCTGGGCTTGTTCCCAGATGCCTTCAAAGACCTCCCCTACCAACAGTTCATCTATGCCTTTGGTAGTCTGGAGCAGAGTAAGAGCAACTGGGAAGAAAGAGGAAGGAAACTTGTTGGGGGGGGGGGGGGGCAGGGATTAGCAAATGCTGGGGCAGAAACTCTGACCTTCAGGGAGGTTGCCTTGCTTCTGTTTCCACATGTCTGCTCCTGGACCCCGGAAGCAAAATTCAGGAAACCACAAAGCATGCTGCTGTTGGAGCTTTCCTGGGTACCCAGGGGTGGAAATTATGGGGGAAAAGAGTTAACTCGTAGTCTACTGAGCCTGTATCTGCCCTCAACTATTCTATCCCCTTGGTTATTGTGTCATTCTAGCTATCTTCTCCGTGTAGCTCTGGTGATTGTTTCATCTAAACCCATCCAACCAACCCATCCACTCTTTTCAGTCCATCCCTTCCTATTGTACCTCCCTATCACCCCCATCCATCCTCTCCAGCTCTATCCAGCTATAGCAGGGGTGTCAAACCTGTCAGGGCCTGTGGGCTGAACAAATGGCCTGGAACTGGGCTGCAGGCTGAAACAGTGGTGTGGGGCCAGTCCATGAGCTGAATCAGGCCTGCAGACAGCCCACCCTTGCCAGATCCAGAATACCACACTTGCGCATGCTGACCCCAGCCCTGGCCTTACATACTATGTACATGTCAGATCTATCCACACGCACCACACAGGGGTGCTGGATCTACACCAGGGCGTGTGGCTCTATCTGAGCACCACCAGCCAGATGATAGGGCTCCATAGGCTGGATCTGGCTATATCTTTGACACCCTTTGGTCTACCATATGCAACTGAGACAGACAAGCAAACCAATCCAGCCCATTACCCAACCCACATTCACTCCCCACACCCATTCTCTCTCTGTCTTTTCTGTTCACACCCAGAAAACAAATCCAGACTTATCTGTCACGTACAGGCTTAGTTGTGTTGTTGCACTGGTTCTGAACTGCCTGGAGAGTCTCCACTTCACAGGTGAAAACCAATTCTGGGGAATGAAGCAGGAGACAGGGGGACCTTTCTTATAAAGGATGAAAATGGGACATGATGGATGCTCTTGGGCAGAGACATGATACCAGGTCAAAAGCAAACTCTAGCCAATAGCAGGGGGTAGGATGCCACTGAAGAGACTGATTGGTGGAACCAAGAAACTGGCCATGTTCTAGAGCAGTGTTTCTCAACCAGTGGGACGCAAAGGTTGTGTAGGTGGGACTTCTAGCTTGAGGCCAAATTTAATTAATATTTTCCATGTGAAGACGATCCTCAGATTAGATTTTTGTGGGTAATGGATCTGTTCATTCACTCTGGCAGTGAAACAAATAAGCTGTCACTTTCAGTCTCAGAGGAGGATAGTCCCATTGTATTAGCAAATGATCTGACATTTATGAACAGAATATGAACAACTTGGCAAAAAAGCTATTAAGAAACTAGTGCCCTTTTCTTCCACATATCTTTGTGAGCAAGCCTTCTCTGCCATGGCAACTACAAAAATGAAGGGAAGAAACCATCTTCAACTCAAAGCAGCTCTTCAAGTCACTATTTCAAACTTTACCCCAAGAACTGACATGCTTGCCAATGAAACGCAATAAGACTTATTCTCAACAAAATTTTTGCAATTTTTAATGTCCTTAAACATTTCCATTAAAGATTAATATAATACTAAAATGCATGTAAACATAAAAATACACTTCTTGGAAAAGTGGGGTTTTGTTTTTATCACGGTGGGACCAGGGTTTTTTAACAAAATGGTTGGTGGGATGTAAAGTGCAAAAGGTTGAAAACCGCTGTTCTAGAGTAGGGGTGTTCCAGCACTGGCCCATGGGCCAGATCCAGCCTGAGGGCCTGCCTCCCCAAAGGTCCAGGAATTTGGTAGCAGGGAAGCTGTGCTACCATTCCCATACTACTAAATCTCTGGACCCATGGGGAAGCACCGGGCCCTGAACTGTAGTTTAGGCATGGACCAGTCCTGGTGTGGAGAGCCAGGAGGGGACAGTACCAGACCCTCAGGACCCAATCTTGGCATGGCAGGGGCAGGGAAGATAAAAAAAGACCGAGCCCCCAAGACTCAATCCCAGTACGTGGTGGGTAGAAGGGGGTGGTGCCAGGCTCCCAAGACCTAAACCCAGAGCATGGGAGAGAGAAGGGCAATGTGCAGGGCTTTCAGGGCCCAATTCTGGTATGCAGGGGGGCAGGCAGGGAATGATGCTGGGCCCCTGAGACCCAATCCAGGTGTATGGGGAGTAGGACAGTGTAGTGCCAGGCTCCAGGGACACTATCCTGGCTCATAGGGAGCAGGAGGAGGTGGCACTGGACCCCAGGGACCCAATCCAAGTGGGAGCAGGGTGGGAAGAAGTGATGCCAGGTTCCCAGGACCCAGGGATACTGCTTCTATTCCTACATGATGCTGGTGTCAAACTGCCCATGCATTCCATGGGCTGCCCAAGGAAGCCTGTACTGACTAAGTACCTGTGCAATTCAAGAAGCGAGGCTTGCCATGGTGCCCAGTGGTGCTGTTGGGAGTTGAATAACCTGGAGAACACTTGCAGGAATAAGTGCCCGGAGTGTTGATGCAGACGGTGTTTGGGCCACAGGGGGTGGGGTCCTGAGAGCACTCATCCACATCTAGACACAAGAACGCAGCACTCGCTAGCCTTCACGCAGCCTTCCGCGCTTTCCGTTTTTACCGATAAATACCCAGATTTTTTTTGTAGTCATTAGGTTTTTACTGATTTACACTCGTTTTTCAATTCAAATCCCTGTTAACTGACATTAATGGGGAATGACCTATTCTGCACTCATGCCAGTTAAAGGGGATTTGAACTGAAAAACAGGTGGTGCCGGTAAGCTAAAAGTGCCAGTTACCCGAGGCACAGGTTTTGGGGCGGGGGGTCAGGGAGAGGGGGCCGTGTGGGGGCCTGGAGCC